CGATCTTTACTTATAGATCATTGTGGTTATAGTTCCTAAATGATTTGAGCTCTAATAAATAGTTTATTCTGTTTCATATCAACAAGCCAAAATAATAATTGATCTTTCAGGATATAAACTCTTTTTATTACTTGAGGTATTGTTTGCTTTTACGGTTCAAGTTGTTTACAAGGAATTGTTTTTATGCAATATATTGTTCGCTTGTGTATGCCGAAAGAATAACAATAAAACATTATTGTGCTCCTGATTTCCCTTTGAAAAGGCAAAGCAACCCTCCAAGCATGGTTGCTTTCCGTGCTGTAATGGTTCTGTGCTCTTTACCATTGTGTTCTTTAAATAAAAAGCACAAGATGATCCTGCTGTACAGAAACACAACAATTGTTTCTGTAAACAGTGTGTGCTCTGGTATCTGTAGCAAGTAACTAGTTTCTTGTTTATTATTTTATCTTCTTAATGAGAAATCAAGTCGCTGGTACTTCCTTGTTTTTTGGAACTAATTGTTCCATGATTTTAAAAAGCACTTAGTATAATTGGGAGTCATTAACTCCTGATACAATGTGATGTCAATGGAGGAAGTCTGTGTCTGAAGGGCTCTTATGGCACAGATCATCCCAGCAAGGATTGCTCTGCGGGTGCAAATTCAAATTCAAAGCCTCCTGTTGCTTGGTGCAGGAGCAGAGGTAGAGACCAGCCTGTCCGTGGGTAAAGCTCATGAAATTGGGCAAACTCGTGTTTCCCCCAGCTAAATGGGCTCAAATACCTGACAGGACTCGGCTGTAACTTGTTCTCTCTTTCTGCTTTGCACCTGCGTGTCCTGGAGATCGTCAAGGGGCCCTGCTGGGGAGATTCTGTTCTTTGCTGTGAAGGGCTGGTGATAAATGTCAGTCCCCACCTCCAACCATCCTTTGGGCAATGCACACGATTCCCAGGTGACTGACGGGGAAGGGTAGGGTCTGCATTTACAGTGGTGCCTGCAGGGGAGTGCTCCCAAAGGCACAGAAAATGCTCTGGGATGAGCCTGTGGGGACAGCATCCCTTGGAGGGAGCAGGGGCAGCAAAGGATCCATCTCTGGGGACAGGAGGGGACATGCCCAGCAGGTGCCACAAGCTGAGTCAAGGCTGTAGATCCTTCTGAAACACTTGCAGATGCTGGGAAGGGCTGTTGGCACTTGAGCTGCAGCAGGACAGGCAGGATGCAAAGATCTGAGGAGAGGGCTGGGTGCTGAGCTGTGCCAGTGCTGCTGTGGTGCTACCTGTCCCTTCCCTGGGCAGGGATGTGGCAGGCAAGTTGTTCTTCTTCATCAGGCAGAAGGGGTTGATGTATTTTCATGCCCAAACCTTACTACCAGGTGTGCTGCTCAGTTTGGTGAGCATTACCCCAGCCTGCAAATACTGACTGCTGTCACTTGCTGGTGTGCTGGGTGCTCTTTCCAGCAGCAGCTTTGTCACAGCCTTTTGGTGACAGAAGCACCTGGGAGGGCATGGGCTGGTTTCCCTGTGAGCATCCCTGGGCACTCTGCTGTTCCCTGCTGCAGCATTGCTGGCAGCTCTCCTGTGCTTGTCTGATGGTGGGAGAGCCAGCACGGCTCAGGGCAAACTTTGGGTTGTATCCTCAGCCATCCTAATTAGGTGCTTTTTTAGGCAGAACCTTTCCCCCCCCTTCTTTTCCCCCATTGGAGCCCAGAAGTTTTATGTTCCCTCTGCAGAATCTTCCAACAGCAAAGCTTGAGGGATGTGTCCTCACTGTATAACGAGCACTCTTGAGATCACTCACAGAAAAGAGAAGTTACAAACCTCTCTGCTATGTTTTGCATGCCACAGCTTGAAACCTTCAAGCCTGGAAGGTGGGCTGCCCAGCTCCTGTCTGCCAGAGAGAGCCTTTAGAAGAGGAAAAGCTGCTGTCTCTTGCTGCTTCCTATCTGCCAAGGCATTTTCCATCTCCAAACCTGTTTCCCTGTGAATGAGTTTAATGTGAAACAAAGCCTGGCAATAAGCGTGCATTCCCAAACTGTGCATTTTCAGTCTTCTGATCTTGCTGCCTTTTGTCTCTGGGCTGTTCTGACCTATTCATGTCAAGAGAGCAAACAATCTGTGAGACTCTGATAAATTTGTACAGCCCCTGCATAGTCTAGGAGAAGGTTTAATTTGATCTGACATTTACTAATCTACTAAGACTTTCAGTGATTTGTTTTCATACCAAGTTGAGTTTTATATCCCATAGAGAAATGGGTAAACATATTGCATTGGTAACAACAGCAAGTGTATGAAGCCAAAAATTCGTACTCATACACTTGAAAATTCCTTTCTGCTTGCTTTTTATGGGAATGTATTCCTCTTGCTAATTGTCAGGTTGCTAATTTCATTCACCTGGTGAAGTGCTTGCAGAGTCTTAGCTGTGAATTATGTGAGGAGTTTTGTTTGGTTTAGTCTTGCATTGCATTCATATTTTCCTAAGGCCGTTGCCTTAACGTGCTGGTTGTGAAAGTGATTCCAAATATCAGATCGTTTTTCTACCCACCACATGTGACTGGTCTGACAGCAGCTTGTGTATAGATATTCTTGAATTTATGTCCTTAAATGGTTCTCGCATTACAGTGGGAAATTCCTTGATTATTTATGTGTTTCTCACACTTTGTGAGTAAATTAGTAAAATAGTGAAATTCTCCAGTGCATTTTTTGTGTTTTGTAGGTTTGTTTGTTGTTGTTTGGTGGGTTTTTTCCCCCTTTCAACTTCTTTTAAATCTCTGTTACTTCTTTATATTTTAGGATACTCTGATTAGGTACTAGTAGAAAAAAAAATTGTGTTTGGGTCTGGAATCTGTATTCAGTGAAGTCACACTAGGAGTTTACTTGAACTCCTGTATTAGAAAAAATAATTTCACAGTTGTAACAGTTGTATCTGAGGCCCAGAGGATGGTGATCTCTTTTTTGTAAATATTGTTCCCTTACAAAAATCCATAGTGATGGCATAAATGTGGCATGGGAAGTTTATCCATGAGAAAAATCAGTTGCCCTCTAAAGGAAAAAATAAAACCTCAAACCATGAACACACTCCCTGTCCTTACACTGCTAATTTTGACTTCAAGCCTGAACAGTGTGTTGCCTGCCATAGAGTAAAGCATAGTGGTAGATCTAAGTGCTGAGATTCCTGTGCCTGGGTCACTCACAGGTGCTCATTTGGGTTATCCCGGTGGTTTAGATTTGTTTTCTTGTTGGGAGCAGTCTGTTCCGAAGTGGAGACATTGGATGGAGGTTTCCAGGGCTGTGTTTGAAGTTTGTGGGGGATGCAGCCCCACTGGGGGTACTGCAATGCTCCTGATCCCCCTCACCAAGGTCTCTGCTGTCACTGCACTGGTGACTCTGCTGCTCCCTGCAAGTAAAACCCAAATCAGCACCCAGTGTGTGACCTTGTGTTTTATTGCCCAGTTTCCATATCTGTTTCCTTCCTTGCAAGCCCTCCAGCTCCTTGCTGGATGGAGCACAGTGGGGACTGTTCCCAGCTGGGAATGAGGTGATGCTGCCTGTAAGGACGTGTTCACCCCACCAGGACAATAGAAACAGCCTTGTGCCACTGTTGTGCTTTCCTGACTCCAGAAACATCCCCTTTCTGTGGGGAAAGGGCTCCAGCCAGCACAGCCAGCTCCAGGGCCTTGTGAAAAGTCATCAGTGTCCTTGTTTTGTTTCCTCAGATTGTATTTCATTAACCTTTTACCTTGCTTGCTCACTGCAGACTGATTTCTGACAGGCACACGAGCGAGCTCGGGGTTTCCACCCTGCTGTGCCCACAATCAATAACACTCCACCTTCTCAGTGGATGCTCGGATCTGCTGCCTGAGCTCCTCAGCATCCTCCTCCTCCTCCTCACCCCTTGCAGCATCCCTGCCCAGAGCCAGGGAGGGAAGGCTGCTTGAAAGCTCTGGGGAATGGTTTTCAGCCTGGTAAACCCAACAGCAAGGTGATCATTCCTTCTGGAATTAGCAAAATGTTAACTGGCTGCCAGTAAACGTGAGTCAGGCACAGCTGCCTGTGTGTTTGGTTTGGTATAAAAACTACTCAGGATAAAATCTGTTGACAGCCTAAAGCTGTGTAGTGCTTTTTTATTAGTTTTTTTAAATTTCCATATTCTCAGCCTAAGTAAGTTGGCAGAAGGTCTGGATGCTCACTAACCATATTACTCATGTTTGGTATCAGCATATTAACTGCACATTTGCACTTTACAATTGCAATGGCTTTGTGTTAAGCAATTCTTTTGATAATAATCAGAGAGATTCTGGGTTGAGAGATGAATTTATCATGTCTGGATTCTTTCTTGGGGTTTAAAAATTAATACCAAGTTTTGAAGACAAAAGGGTTTTTAGAAAGGCAGCTTGATTTTTAGAGGGACTTTACTTAGTAACAGAATACTCATATCTTTTTTTAGCATGTAGGAAAACTCTGAGCCACTCTTGACAGTAAATCCTTGTTCTTCTTTATGATTTTTGCTATGTGTAAGTCATACTTCTAAAAAAAAATTTACTTCTTTTTATTTTATCTCCTCCCAAAGAGAGATAATTGTCTATTTTGTCAAATGTTGTGAAAGTGGGTAGTAGGAAAGGTGGCTCTGAGTAGAACTCTCTGCTCTCACCAGTGGTTCTGCTGGCTGTCCAGAGTGACAGGGGAGAAGTTTGTCTGTCCATTTTGGGGGGCACAGCCCACCTTTGCCCAAATGTTATTGTAATTGCATCAGAGGGGGTTGATGCTGAAAGTCAGAGTGCTCTGCAGTCAGGTGGAGCAGGCTTTGCAAGAATGTCTCACAAAGCTAGTGTTAGTAAATATATTGAAATTCATTAATTGTCAATATTTTCGACTGTAAATGGGAAAAGATGGTGAAGTAAAGGGGAGTCCTCCCTTAATTTCAGCTACTGCTGCTCTTTAGTCTTACTGTCCCTGGAACACACTCCTCTCCTTAACCCCTCTTATTTTTTGGGGCTGTGGCACATCCACAGAGTGCAGAGGCATCAGCAGAGAGCTGGTTAATGTAGTAAAGACTCTTTGCTCCCTTTCTTTTTATCTCCATCTCCTTTTTCCTTTTTTTTTTTTTAAATGACCTGGCCAGTGCACTAAAGATTTTGATTCTGAAAGCCTTAAAAATGCTTGTTCAGGCCCAATTGCTTTTATATGCCAAGGTTAAGTATGATGTAGGTTTTAAATGTGTCAGAAGAAGCTTATACATGCACAGCTTGCTTTATGTCTTCAAACATTTGACATATGCAAAAAAAAAAAGTTGCAACTCTTTGCTCACTGAGATGCTTTTAAAAGAAGCTAAAAAAGAGCGATTCTTCAGTTGCTTTCACCATGCTAAATGTTATCTCATTAATTCAACTTAATATTCATCATTAGACATCACAGTTGGCAAAGTTCATCCCCACTTCACCCGGGCAGGATGGACCTGGGCAATTAATAGCAAAGTGGAACTGTTTAAATGGTCTTTGGGGGAGGCCTTCTGCAAAAGAGGAGGATTTTCATATGAAATATCATCTTGTTTGTTTAAAAGGCCAAGAGCATCACAGGGGTCTTAGTTCTCATGCCCAGAGTTCATTGTCTAGGGATTGAGCATCTTTGTTATCTGCTTGCTGGTCAAAGGTGATTTTAATGCTGTGTATTAAGACAGGCTTTCATTGCTAACTGGTAGAGCTGGGTGAGTGATCTGGGACATGCCACTTCTGTTATTATGGAAAGTCTCTTTAAAAATCTTACTCATCTTTTTTATACAGTAGTACCTTCTTTTGTGTTTTGTTCAAGCAATTGGGAGATCACATTCTTATTAGTCCACTTTCAAATAGCTACAGATTAAAAAAGGCTTCTTTATTAAAGCTCTGTTGTAATTTTGCAAGTAATACATTGTCAGGAAATCGAATCCGCTTTTTTTAACCAGAGTGGATAATTAACCACTGAAGCAATTTATCAAATGTTACCCAGTGGGTTCCCTGCCATGGAAAGCGTTGAGTCCAGGATTGATGTATAGGGAAATGCTCTCGTTAAAGCAGGAGCCAGGGAGGAATTGATTGATATGATGTGGCCTGTGTTACGTGGGGAAATGGGAATAGATCATCTCAGGATCCCTCGAGGCTATAAATCCATATGAATCTGTTACCTATAAATACTGATAGGTGATTAGATCTGGATGTGCAAAATGTCTTTAATTTCTCTGAGTGACAGTGGTGCCAGGCTGAGGCATTGTCCTGGTCCCAGCACGGTGTCACCTTGTGAATTAGTGGGGTGATTTAATGAACACTGCTGGGTTGCTGCCTCTGTGTGTGCTCACCAAAGTGAGCCTGGCTTAGCTGGACAGAGAAGGGATCAGGTGCTCAGAGTCCAGGATATCACTGCAGAAAAGATTTCACAGTGAGAACTATCCTTTTCCACTGCTGGCAAAAAAATCCTCCAAACTGAAATAATGAAATAATGAAGACCTGTTTGTTTTATGTTTTTTTCCTAAGGAAGAGTGTCAGTGTTGAGGAATTATATATATAAAAGACTAAATGGATAATTTTTCTCTGTGCCTTTTTTTTTTTTCTTTTTTTTGTTGAATGCATTTACTTGCTCACTTAATAGGAAAAAACCTTGGAGGCTTTCAGGTTTTAATAACCCCTGGCTTTGAATTCCATCCAGTTCTGGTTGTAAAATGAATCCCCCATTTTACAGCTGAGTAACTTTGGGAAGTGTTAGAAACCTTTCACCCTTCAGCTCAGGATACTCCACATGTTTTGTAGCATTACTTGGGAGTGTGCTTGAGAAAATGTTTTTCTATTTGTGCTTCTCTGCTAGTCATTGGATTCATACTAATGGTTATCTTTACTCTGTATTAGCATTTATATAATCACAGATTTATTTGAGCTGCAGCCTGTTTTGAAAGCAATTGCTGGCTGAGTGATGGTGTGGCTGTGGTTGGTGCCTGCCCGTGAATACTAAAGGCTCATGGAGTGGTATTTGTGTGTTGTGGCTTAATGGAAGGGCTGTCTTTGATCCGATCACTTTGTTATTAAGTGTTGAGAGGGCATGTTTAGTTGAGTGAGGGAGTGAGAACTTAGTCATGGACTTTAGAATCAAGGTGCTTAGATGTAAAAACAGATTTTTTTTTTTTTTTTTTTTTTTTTTAAGCCCAGAGCTGGTTGTTTACATGGGGGTTTGTTGTCAGTGGTTTATTTTCCAGAAGTGACTTTATATTTGTTTCTCTCTTCTTGCAGCTGGGTGTTGATGGGACTCTGTGTCAGTGCTCCCCACGGAATGTGGATGCTGGGATTTGGGTTCTGTCCCTCTGCAGGGCTCTCCCCTCCCTCTGGCACTGCCCTGTGCTCTGCACATTGGAAATGCTGCTGGAGCCTGGGGCAACCCAGCTCTGCCTCCATAGAGCCAGCCCAGCAGAGCTGCCCTTAACTGGACTGTTTAGGGCAGTGATGAAAAACCTTCCTCTCCACTTTTTTAGGGATTTTTATGCTCATGTCCCTGAGTCAGACCCCACTTTCTGGGGTTTCAGCTGGCTCCCTGTGTCCATTTCCAGGCAGTGATGCTGCCTGGCAGGGATGGAGGAGCAGGATGCTGCACAGAGCCTGCAGTCTCTCCATCAGGTCCCGCAAACAGATCTGCACCCTGTCTTTGAGACAGCAATTTTCTTGACCAATGGATTCAAAGGTCTATCTGTCTCTGCTTTATTATTGCTATTTATTGCCTCAGTGTTTGTTTGGCAGAAGGTTTTTGTGTTTAATACCAGCCCTGCTGCCCATTGCCAGGAAATTTAGAACCTGTGAGTGATTTCAAAGGCCATCTGACTCCAGAGCTTCCAGCAGGATTTATGTTTCTGCTGGTGCAGTGTTACAGTGTCATAAGCTTTTTATTTGTTCTTATTATATCATGGGCATCTGCAGACTGTTGAGTCCAGTTTTCTTCAGCTGTTTATGTGCAAATACGTCTCTGATCTTGTGAAAGGAGGTCATTCATTATTTCCCCTGACTGCTGCTCCAAGGAAAAGCTTCTCCCCCGAAATAAGTCATTAAAAGAAAATGAATTAGTTGTGCCAAAACTGATGGCTACAAAATACATATGACTCCACTGTTCGTGTAAAGGCTGGAAAAAGCTCTTGGTTATTTGGAGTATATTCCTGATTCAGTGTCTGGTCAGGTTTTATTCTGGTAAATCTGGCTTGCTGTCTGCAGTTCAGCTGGCAGTGGAACTTGGGGTGTGCTGCCAGGGCTGCAGTGGGATCCCTGAAAGGCTTAATTTCATTTCAAATTGTTGTAAACAATCATTTATTAAACTCCTACTCCGTTTCCTGCCGGGCCAAAACAGTAGCAAGTTCCTTTCCAAGATGACTTCTGAAATTTTGACTTTTGGTGGAATCCCAAGGTTGCAGTGTGCAAGACTTGGGGTCTGGTCCTTTTGCTTGCAAATGACTTAGAAATTCTGAGTCAGGGCTTACTGTTTAAACCCATTTCTGTCTGTTTTCAAAGTAAATATGTTTATTAATGCTGTGTGATTTGAACAGCTGCCAAATGTAACAGAAAATAACTAGATTTAATTTTTTTAAGTGCTTTTCTGGAGATTTTGATTTTTTTACTTTCTGATACTTCTTTCTTTTTCGTTTTCTAAAAAAAGGATGTTTTGCTGGTATGATATGTAATCCATCAGGGGAAAAGAGGCACATTTTCTAGGAACTGGTCTGTGTGGGGGTATGTCGTGGGTGCTGGGTCACTGTGGGATGAAGCAATGCAGTTGTGACATGGCCAATCCTGACCCTTTATTTGTGCTTAAAGCTTTAGTACGTTCTTTCTAAGGATATGATGCATCCAAATAAAGCACATTTCTGTGCCACTAATAAAAGGTCTGTAACAGAGTTCAGATCAGAGTGATAAAAATCCACTTTTATTCCTCCCCCAAGTTTTAGCCATGTCTTTCAAATGTCATCTGGAAGGTGATGTCATTATCTGTATCTGCTTGTTGTGCCTTGGACAGGCAAGTGAGATTTGTGTGGGAAAGCAATATCCTATACAAGGTAATAAAGCTGAATGACTCTCTTAGCTTTTGCTAATGCTTCTGCAGAAATGATGGATACAACTCCTGAGTCCTGGGCTGACAGCACTGTGGAGTGTGTGCCACACTGGCAGTGCAATCTGTCTTCCCATTTCATCTAGTATACATTTGCTTATCCAAATATTACTTTGTTATTTTTATAGCTGTCACTTGCAATTCGGCTCAGAATAGCAAATGTCAGAAAAGAGTTACAAAGAGCACCAGCATTTTTTGTGGTGTATTTGTTTGATGGCCCCTCCATGTAACTATTTGAAAGGAGAAATATGGAACAGTGGAATGATTTTGTGAGGGCAGTCAAGGATTTCTGGTTTTTTTTTTTTCATCCTAGGCATCCCTAGCAGGTAGCAAAGATGACAAGTCTTGTCCTGCAGAGATCCTTTTTTGTGTCTCAATGTGTGTTTTTACCCTAGTACTGATCCTTCTTTGTGCAAGCATTTCCAGCATGGCAGGGATGGAGGGGAGGCTCTGTTGAGCCCAGCTCCAGCTGGTCTGGAGGCACAGCCTGCTCTCATATTTTGAGGCACCAGTCCAAGCAGTTCTCCAGTGTGGCCTTAAGGCAGCATTCCTGGAAATCTCTCTTCTGGATCTTTCACCAAATGTTTTAGATGGGACTTTTTGAAAAAACAGTTTATATTATCTTTGTAAGGAAAGGTAGTTGTTCTGAATAATTCTCATGTAGTCATCTTGCTCCCTGAGAAGGTTCTCTTGAAAATGAGCCCTGCTGTGCTTCACTGCCAGAATGATGTCATCTGGAACCTTATCTGTGAATTTTGGACATGTTCTTGTTGTTGGAAAGAGCACTGGTGTTGATTCAGATATACTGCTGGGTTTTCTAGTAGGCAGATTAAAGGAGCACTGTGGTATCAATTGATGCTCCATGTTCTGCTGTGAGTAGCTGTGTAGTAATGATTTGTAGCTTGTAACTGCACATCTTAGCATGGATAC